AGTGGCTACACCTGAAAAATGTGATGGATCCTTTGGCCAGATTCTTGCACTCCTGACATACTATAATCTTTATATGGTTCCTTTATCCAAATAGGAGGATTTTGGTCGTCTCTTCTGGGCCAACTGCAGAATGGGCTGCTCTATTGCTGCTGCAAGAAAGCATTATGTTAATCAATTTAGACAAGTTCATAAGCTAAAAGTAATATTGAAAGATTCAAGCAAGTTAGCGACTGCCCGCTGACATATGAGAAAGTTATTCCAAGGGCACTGGTCACTTGCAGAACACTGCATGTGAATGATTTTCAGCATCTGATCCACAATTTGGATAGGAATGAAATCACATTGATGGACCCATTCAAGGACAGCCTCACTTGATTCATTTTTGTCTATACTGATGGATAACTGGAACAATAACAATCAAGGTCCCAGTTATACCCACCACCACCAAAATAAGGACCAACTCAAGCCAAAAATGAGAGCCAGAATCATTTTGCTTTCAAATATTCAGCAAAAATAACTGTGTCCCATTCCTTCAAGATATGAACTTTGTGTGACCTAGATGGGCTTTTGGATCAGGAAAGATTGATGTCCAGTTAGCTCAAATAGCACCAGTAATGCTTATATACTGTTACTGTATGTCACAGGTAATCTGGCATATAGATTGATTGGCTATCAGCCAAGTAGCCGCTTCATGGACCTAAATTTGACAGTGAACATGATATGCCTTGACACTCCATAAAGCCTCCCATAATTATTGAAACCATCAACAGAAGACGACTATTGACTAGTGAAATTTTAGGGACTACAGACTGTGTGAGAATGAACCTGGCTGAATACTCTGAATAATTGGAATTCTTTAGTTTCCTACTTCCTTCCACTGTTGGATTTAGCATGGCTTCAGGTTCATGAGTTCAAATTGCTTGGTCAAATAGAACAGTAAGTTTCAAGCCCTCATGATGTAAAGAGCATGTTCCGGTTTCCATTCCAGGACCCTAACAGGGGATAAGAAAGAAAACGCTTTATACGGCTTCTGCCAAAAGTGTACTGACTGATTCATTTGTTCAGGAGGCAAGAGGCTAACTATTTTGGGATTACCTTATTGTTACATCGCATCTCACAGGCTGGCCAAATAAGCAAGAACATAATGGATTTTAGTCGAGTTTCTTTAATGCTAGTCTAGAATGTGTGCTCTTGAAAACTGAGCACACCAAGGAATTCTCCACCCTTGGTTATAGTGAGTTAATTAAGAGTTTCTTTGAAATGCTTTTTTTCATTTCTCAGCAGATGGAATTAGATGAACATTCAAACACTTCATCCCCAGCTTTTCCACAATCCTCCCAACTATTGACCCAATATCAAATTTCCTTCATTCAGATTTACTGCCTCTTGGAATCTGCATTGGTAACACTGAGGGACATCATCTCAAAAACATTTTAAAAAACAATCATCCATTCTTTCCTGCCATCAGTTGCAGCTCTATATTTCTTTCATTTAAAAAAAAAGTCATCCAGATCATTCTCTGCAACAGATGCTCTTTCCAACAGATTTTGGAACTCTTTGAGTGCCTGCAAAAGACTTGGATTTCCATCAAACGATTTCTCAAGAGGGCAAATCTGAAAGTGATTAGTAAAAAAAACCTGTTTCCTATCCCATATGACAATTTTGAGTATACAGTTAGTTTTGCGCAGTTTATAGAGACTGTTTTCACAGTTTTCTCAGCACTTGATGAGCAACATTTCTGGGATTTCATGGACCAGTTTCTTATTACTTATTTGGGTGTCATTTTACTGTAATTTGTTCTTCCCCCTACCCAGAAACATGCACGGCATGTATAGGCGATGTTGTTGAGCCTTCGGGAGAAGTGCCTGTATGCCAAATTTTAAAAGTATGAATTTCAAGTAATCGCCACTGATTTCCTGCATCATAAAATTTAATCTGAAGGAGTTCCCATAGGCTTGGCAAAGATGGAAGCCACTTTATTTTGGTAGCCTCATCAAGAAAGCAAAAACTTCCAGAGGTGAATGGCCTTTGCCAACCAGTATTATATATATCCATTTCTGCCTCTACATAATTCATAGATGCTATTATGTAAAGATCATTTCCTGGGATACTTAGGACAAATAACTTTTGAAAAAATAAAGAGGGCTTTCACCACCCAACCCATTGTGCAACATCCCATATAGCTCTTTGTGGTAGATACAAGTATAGCAGAAGTAGCAGAAGAGGCCATATAATTACAAGTTCCTGGGAATCCCAGCCTTTATTTCTTCCCATGTACTGTTTCAATACATACTATCTATCACAAAGAGTTGTCTGCTATTAGAGTGTCATTTAAAACTCAGAGGCATTCATAGGAAGGGGCCCAGCAGACCACAGATTATGACAGATCACTGTAATTTGAAATATATCCAGAATGCACCTAGCTGAATCAAAGGTTGATTTGATGGTCTTTATTCTTCTTGCAGTTTAATTTCAACATAATCTCCAGTGTCATAATATAGGATCCGATTCCTTTCTTGAAACTAGAATACTGCATGTGATGATTTGCCGCCTCCTTCATCTGTGATACCTCCAGAAACTTTGCATCTGTGATACTCCTTGACTTTTTGATAAAGCAAACCAGGCAACTGCTGCAAAACAATTCCTGGGTAAAAGCATGACCTAAGGAATCAAAATACAGCCATTTTTCAGCCTATATCATGCCTCTAGGCTCATGTAGTCCTAAAGCTACTGTTACATACTTCTTAAAACGGAGTGGTGACAGTTCCCTGTAAGACATGTTAGGTTTTTCAAGATCTTCCTTCTGGTTGTTAGATTTTTGGTGATTGTATATTAGATTTAATATTTAAAAGCATATGACCTGGAACAAGAAATCTAGTTCACTGGACATTTCTGGCAAGCATTACTCTGCACGTTTCTGACAAAGATCAAGATACCTCTCTTTAGCAACCTGCCATATCCAGTCCAATGTCTACCAGACAAGAAATCCATTTCCAACAAGACAGCTGGATAGAATTCTTATAAATAATATTTTATAAATATATTGTGTTTATTCAAAGGATATAACTACCCAAATAACACTGCTCTTTGGATACCACTCTCAGATTTTTTTTTTTTCCTTGTATGCATTTTGAATTTATGGGTCATAGCAACAGATCAAATGTTGCAAGAACTGCAAGCATTTCATCAGATTCTATCCGGCCAATTCAAACAAGTCAAAGAGACAAACAAACACTTAACTGACCGTCACTGGCAGCCTGATCTATCAGTTGGCAATTCATTGTATGAGTTTCAGTGTGGTGGACTTAAGTAAGCTAAAGAATGCGAACAATTAGTTCATTAATTTTTAATCGTGTCCATCAGCAAGCCAGTGATATTTTTTGGGGGGAGGGGAGGGTCCCTCTTTCACTAAAGTCTACCTTGTTTTCCACAGATACTTATCAATACTGGGTTCAGTGAATCCTGGTAAGCCCACTCTGCCAATTTCCACCTCTTCCTTGTCCAACTGTCATTATCATTATCCAATTATCAGGCAGAATATGAAATCACCAGCATGTTGGACCCATAGAAGCTTTATGGGAGATACTAGAATCTTATAGACTAGCAGACACTCAGCATGTAATTTTGATGACTGTGGGTTCTCAGATATTTCTGCATGAGGAGTCAGACCCAGTCCAAGAGATTGCTGATTAAGATAGCAAACATGGTTTTATGAGATATACCAAGCTCTAAATTATACTTCCATCTAATGACCAGTAGAGATCAGCGTGACTCCATGGAAGGAACTATCAACTGCTCTAATTACAGAAATTTTCGCTATATAGTGGGAACTTACAGATCCTCTTCCCTTGTTGTGAAAAAAAACCCCTCATACTTCTTGAATGTTGTTACTGTGAATTCCCATCATTTGGCTTGATTTTTCTGGATCAGTTTTCTGTCTGAAATTCTCTAGGTCTTGACTCATGGTCTGTTCTTGGAAAATCCAGCTTTCCTGTCTTTAGTTTCTTCACACAAATAGATTTACAACACTGACATGTTTACCCAGTAAGAACTTATATCTTCTGTTTTTCCAAGCCTTTGCTCTTCATTTAATAGCACCCTTTTGTTTCTACCTAAGTTTCTGTTGAATGATTCTTGAAAGGTCGATAAAAGTTCACAAATGTATAACTGCCTTGCTTTTTCTTTGCCATCAATCTAAGGCTTGAATAGGACATTAAGGTGGATGACTGAGAAAATTATGGTTGAATTGAGTCAGTGAGATCTTGAGATAAGAAAACAACAAGAACAATGTATAAAAGCATTATATGTTTGTGGTGGAATCAGGGATGGCTGGCCATGACAGCCATCCCATTATGAACCTCTATTGGTGTAGATTAATGTCAGATGTTTCTTTTTCTTATTCAATGCCTTTAATTTCTTCAGCTTACTATTTTTAAAAAACAAAAAGAAATATTAACACTTTCTTCTTTTCAACAGTTTTGCGTCGGTAATCCGTACTTACACATTTTCTCTCTCTTATCCTAGTATATCTTTTATACATATATTTCTAATATATCATATATATATCACTATAATGTATTCTATTATTCTAATTGTTTTATTTACATTAGACATAAACATATACCCAATTTCCTTTCCACAATTTTGGTTTCTTCCCATTTGTTCTTATATTTCTACTCCTAATTCAACCGTTATTTAATCTTTCCTTGTCCTTTTTTCTCTTTTCCTCCAACCATTTATACCATCTCTCCCAGACTAGGTAGTATTCTGTTTCCTCTTTTTCTTGTATCTCCTTCACAAGCTTATCCATTTCTGCACGCTCCATGATTTTTCTAATTCACATTGTCTTCTGATGGTATATTGTTATTTTTCCAGTTCTCAGTTTACTATTTTTAACTTCTTTTTTGCACTCTAAGCTTATGCTGAAAGGTGAGTAATAACTAGGTATGTACATAATTCATGCAAATTTTAACTTTTTTCTCTCATCATTTTCTCCTCAGGCCTCTCTCATTGTCACAGAAGAACTCCATCTTATTACATTTGAGACAGAAGTTTACCACCAAGGTTTGAAAATTGACCTGGAGGTAAGAATCTCACCAGTTCTACTAACTTAATTGTAGCTTTACTTCTTTATGAGAAGGCTTATTTATGGCTGGAATGGAAGCTTCTGTATTGTTGTAATAGTTTAGATAACATCTTGAAATTTTTCCAGGAACAAAATCAAATATAATACAGGAATCAAGAAGCTTTATTTGAATTATGGTAGCATTCAGGCAACAGTTTCCAAGAAGACACATAAAGGAGATAATGATGCCCATATGACAATTTCACTAACAGTGTGTAATGGCCATATTTTCTTGGAAAAAATAAAGAACAAACCTGAAAAAGGAGCAAATCTGAAAGAGGTTCTTATGGATAGAAATTATTTATAAACTAACCATTGTAACTTTGCTTTACAAAGGAAGATTCAAAAACAATTCCAAAAAAATGGATAGTGAGATAGGGGATGCTAAAGTTGATAAATAAATAGAATATTTAAAATTAAATGAATCTAAAGGACAGCTTTCTAAAATAAACGACAGTCCTTTACAGTAATGGACATACAGTCATTATGTGTGATATTTATTTTGCCTTTATGTAGGGAATTATTCCTCTGAAATGAATGGAGCATCCACTTCCTTAAACGAATATAGTTCCAATGTATGGTTTATGTTATAAACCTTTCTCTGAAATATGAGTCCCCAAACTTAAAAATCCAGACTACGGATGTTTATGAAAAGGGAGTCTAGAAAATCAAAGTGGGTCAACGCACTCTTTCAATCATAGAATTTGCTATGGTCCATTAAAGCAGAAACAATTGTTAAACTGCTCTTAGCATATTAGCCTTTTAATGTTGATACCACAGCTTGATTCATTGCAGAGCTGCAAAATGATCTCATAAATGTCCTGATTAGTGAGATGGGAGAACTAAAAAACATACTTAATTTGCTCTTGAAGAATAAGATCCTCAGACTCCGAAAAAGATAGGTTTGTAGTCAGGTAACTTGTATTTTGTACTCGTAGACCCATTCACTTCCAGTAGTGGTGATCTCCAACATTTGCCAGATGCCAAATGCATGGGCATCAATTTTATGGTACAACATGCTGACAAACAATCCCAAGGTAAGCTATGCTATAAATGCACCAGTGCAGAAGAATGGGGAGGGAAGAGGCTGTTTCTCCTGATTTCATGAATCATTCCTCTCTTGGCAGAACGTGAACTTTTTCACCAAGCCACCCATTGGCACATGGGATCAAGTTGCTGAGGTGCTCAGCTGGCAGTTCTCCTCAACCACCAAACGGGGACTCAGCATAGAACAGTTGACGACTCTTGCTGAAAAGCTACTTGGTAATAAAGTCCCCCTCCTCCAGTTTAACATTTATTGATCCTAAGGGACTGCCATCTTCCCAGCTTGACTAAGGGTTTGTTAAAGCCCAAGGATCTCAGTTTTGAACTCATAGCAGAATTTTCAAATATAAACTTGGAGAATCATTGGCTGAGGATTAAAACCCAGGCCCAGAATGCTTCAGTGCTGGCAATCCCCTCCCACCCCACCCCCAAATTCCTGAAAAACATGTAAAAAAGCTATTACCTTACTTTCCTCCAAGGAAATAAAGATGGTATGGAGGGATTTCTCTCCCAATCCTAACATCTCAAATGAGTAGTGATAGCTGTCTAATTTAAACATCTGATCACAGTGGTTTATTTGGATTCTTGAACCGATCACAGTTAGCTGAGATCACATAACATGCTATAAACCCATGATGGTGAACCTATGGCACATGTGCCATAGGTGGAACACGTAGCCATATCAGTGGGCACGCCAGTTTAGCTCTGGAGCGCATACGCGCGCCAGCCAGCTAATTTTTGGGCCTTCTGGGCCCACCAGAAGTAGGGAAACAGGCTGTCTCCTGCCTCTGGAGGGCCTGTTGGGGTGGGGGGAGGCCCATTTTTCTTTCTCACCTGGCTGCAGATCCTCTCTATGCATCTAGAGAGGGCGAAAACAGCCTTCCCCACTCCCTTGGAGGCCCTCTGGAGGCCTGAAACGGCCCATTTCTCAACTCCTGGTGGGACAGGAAGTGACATTTCTTGCTGTCCTCAGCCTCCAGAGACTCCTAGAGAGAAGTCTACGTGGCCATCGCCTGCCAGGAGCTGGGGGGGTTGTGCACGCATGTGCAGGGCGGGGCACATAGAATTATGGGTGTGGGCGCGCGCGCAAACCTCCCCCGCCCCTCCCCTCCTGGTACGCGATGGCAAAAAGGTTAGCCATCACTGGTATAAACTGTAACCTCTGGTTTACAAATCACAAAATTAATTTATCCAGTTATCCAGTTAATCCAGTATGCTAAAACGGATGTCTGATGCAAGCCATGATGACATTATTTGTGTAATATGATGCACATGATGCCTATTCCCCCCTGCAACATCCATGTACAAACTACATTTTTTTTGGAGTATAAGACACACTTTCCCCCCTCCCTAAAGGGGGGGAAAAATTTGGGTGTGTCTTATATACCAAATGTAGCCAAAAACATGAGGCACTGAGGAGGCGATGGTCTATAGCAATCCTGCAGCCTGGAACAACTGATTGGGGGTATTCCGGGAGGCCGATCCACCCGCCAATCAGCTCGTGCTGAATAAGGCTGTAGTATTGTGCTGAAGCTGACCTGACTGTTCGCTGTTTGCTACAAGGGCTGTCGGAGTTTGCAGCAGCAAGCAAACCACAAGCAGAGGAGAGGAGTTTCAGTTTTAGTTTCAGAGATCAGCACAGCATGCAGCTTTAGAACAATTGACCTAAGCCACGCTCAGGCTCCTTGCTGTCTCCTTCCTTGTTACTCAGACAGCAAATACTGTTTCAGTTTCCAGTCTCACACAGAAAGGATGCTAGCCAGATGAATACAGATGGATGGTGGTAGGCAGAGGCAGATTTTTTTTTTTCTTATTTTCCTCCCCCAAAACAAAGGTGCATCTTATACTTCAAAAAATACAGTAAGTTGTATTTCATGTTAGTTGAATATATGAATCCAGAAAAAGCTGTCCAGGAGCTTTCTAGTGACCCTCAGTGGCAGACCAGGGGATTAGAATCTGGCTCTCCTTTATCATTGCTGAAAGTTTAATACTGTAACTATACCATAATGGCTCCCTTTCATTTTAATTTAATTTGATTTGATTTTAATATTTTTAGTCTAATGGTTAAGGCACCAGGCTAAAAAATAGAAGCCTTTCCTTAGCCATGAAAGCTGGCTGGGTGTCTCTCCAGTCACTCTCAGCCCAACTCACTTCATGGTTTTTGTTGGTAAAAGACGAAGGTGTGTTGGATATGTTTGCCACCTCATGTTATTTGTAAAAATAATAAGGGAGGGATACAAACAAATAAATGTTTTTTCATCCATTCCCATTATTTGTCCTAGGACCTGGTGTCAATTACTCTGGATGCCAAATAACATGGGCCAAATTCTGCAAGGTAAGAGTTTGGAAAGTGAGGCTTATAATTGTGAGTCAAACTGTGAGCCAGTTTGCTTAATGGCCTTCTTGATTTATCCTCTACAGGAGAACATGGCAGGAAAAGGCTTTTCATTCTGGGTCTGGCTGGACAATATAATTGACCTGGTGAAGAAGTACATCTTGGCACTTTGGAATGAAGGGTAAGCGTGACCAGAAAAAAATCATAATTGTTCACAGCATCTCTGTCTAGAAAAAGCTATCCTTGTCACTTATTGGTCCTCAAAGGTGAGGAAGTTCTAAACCAGCCTTTCCCAATTTGATGCTTTCTGTCCGTCCCCCTCCCCCCCCAAATTTGAGGACACTGCCATATAGAATCTGAAGTCAATTTTAAAAGCCCTGCTTTAACAATACAATAAATGGATCTATAAAATAAACTGGCCATGTTGACGGCCATTTTGTGCTAGTCCTTGAGATGCATCCAGAATTTCAAATGAGCAAAAGGTTTGGGGAATCACTGTCTGGCATAATTACAACCAACTCTATGATTTTTGTGATTATTTTAAAAATAAGTAAAATACACCATATCGAAACTATATACATTTTTTCCTCCTCCTCCTCCTCCTCCTCCTCCTTCTCCTCCAGATATATCATGGGCTTCATCAGCAAAGAGAGGGAAAGAGCCATCCTGAGCACAAAGCCTCCTGGAACCTTTTTGTTGCGTTTCAGTGAAAGCAGTAAGGAAGGTGGAATCACTTTCACATGGGTGGAGAAGGATATTAGTGGTAAGGAATGCAGCCCTGACATGATAAAAGTGCTCTGCGCTAGGCTGGCTTATGTGCCATGAAGTCTTAGTCAGCTCTTAGTGACCGCATAGATTTTATCTATGATAATCTGTATCTAGCCCAGCCCTTCAGGTCTTCCAGACATGTATCTTATCACCACTGACATTGAGTCCATCCAGCTTGCTGCTGGTCATCCTCCTCTTTTCTTCCATCTTTTCTCAGCTTGCCCCCGAAAGCAATGAAACATAAAAATAAGCATTTAATATCAATTCGAGAATTTCAGTTGATTTACTGATTTAATCTATTAAATGGGAATAAGGCCAGAATATATTTATTTCAGAGCCAGTAAATATATTTTATTTTTCAATACACTTATGCCCTAGCACTCTAAGAAGAGGGTTTCCTGTTATTTGTAAGAAGGAAGAGAAAATGCCTCTTTGAAGAGAATGTTCAGCATCTGTCATTTTTATAGGAGTTAAGCTTGTCAGCTTTCTGTATGTTCGAACATAAAATGTGTAAAAATACGTATTTTGCATGCAATTTTCTGTAGTAGATGCATTTATATATAACTGTCCCTAATATATACATCTTATGTCATTTTGGAATCAATGCCACAAATGAGTAAGAGTGAAATCCAAAAACCAATTTTGTTCCAATCTGCCTACTACTTCAGGAAGTATTAACTAGACCATTGTTTAAAAATAGATAAATTGTCCCTTATCCTTGCTTTTTAAATATTTATATCAAATTGAATGACACCAAAGATCACATACTGTATAATAGTATTAACAGCATAATGTGATCTCAGAATTCGTATTTATAGTACAAAAGGAAAGGAAAAAATATAAACAGAACACAAAATTCCCCAATTTGTTTGATTGTTCATTCTATAGCTGCCCAATTCAACTAAGTGACTCCAGATGGTATTATATTGCTTAAAAGTTACACCCAATTGTTTCTTAGAACTCTGCCAACTCCTGTTTCAAATCTTGAGAAACAGTATACCCCGACAATCCATATCTTTCCAATGTTGTGTACTTGTTCTTTTAGCCTTCCATATATGCCTGAAAAATCCATAGTTCTTGTCATAATTTCAGATACTATGAATATAATCACATATAATATATGCATATTTAATACTTAACAATTGATCCACACATTAACAATCTTGTTTCAATCCAAAATACAGCAATAATAGGACAAGTGTAAGCAATTTGAGTTACTACTCAAATAAGTCTCCAGCAGCAAGGTAATTACAACACAACATTATTAAGGAATCCATTGTAGACATGGCATTTTTGTTACTGTATATTAAATTTTAAAATCATGGGAAATTGATTTTAATGCATATTATTTAAAGCAATATTTCATTGGTTTATCAGGATAAGACATTTGATTTCCTTATTCCTAGGTTTTGCAAATAACTTTTTAATTTCATCGACTTCTGTCTCTTTAGGCTTCATAGGATTCTATGGAAAGTCTGTTCCCATCCTTGCTAAGATCCTTTAAATGGAATTGGCAAGGACTGAACCAACAAACATATTTCTTCTACGTCAAGGCATGCTGATATTTTATTTCTTACAGAGGTTACCATGTGTAATATTTTAATGAATGTTCTATAACATCAGAAGAATTCATCTGTTTACTAAGGGCATAATCAGTGATGACCAATTTCTCATCAGTGTACAAGATTTATTTTGAATTTTGTGATATTTTTCAGAATACTTTTTTTATTGCTGTGAGTTTGATTCTCCCTCTTTTCCCTCCATCTTGGGCAAGGAGTCTATTGGTCCTTTTTAATCCGCTTTCTACAGGAAAAACACAAATTCAGTCAGTGGAGCCATACACCAAGCAACAACTCAATAACATGTCATTTGCTGAGATTATTATGGGTTACAAGATCATGGATGCCACCAACATCCTGGTTTCCCCACTTGTTTATTTGTACCCTGATATTCCTAAGGAAGAGGCCTTTGGAAAATACTGCCGTCCAGAGAGCCAGGAGCATCCTGAAGCCACTGACCCAGGTAGTTGTTGACTTTCTGTGCTGTTCCCCCCCCCACCTGATTACCATAGATATGTTGCAGTCATAAACTCTTTTGCAGGCTCTTGGATTCCTCCTCAACCTATAGAACACTGGGGGTGTAGTTTCCAGCTTCCTGTCATACATAAATATTGTTAGTGCACACCATAAATAATGTATAAATTACCATATTTTTCGGAGTATAAGGCACACCCGAATATAAGACGCAGCTTAGTTTTTGGGCAGGAAAATAGGGGGAAAAAATCTGACTACCAGGTATACATCTGGCTAGCATCCTTAATCTGATCAGCTTCAGCATATTAGTTTGCTGATTTTGAGCACGTGCATGCTTTTTATCCCTTGCTTGGGGATAAAAAACAGCTTCTATAGTACAGTTGAGAGGGAGCAGCAATGAGGAAAGCAGGCAAAGCACGGAGATCCTTTCACTTGCTAGGCTGGAAAAAAGCTTTTAAAGCACAGCTGAGAGTTGGCACACGGAAGATAGCTTCACTTGCTAGCAGCTCGTTAGGGCTGGAAAAAAGCTTTGAAAAAACTACATTCAGAGTATAAGACGCACCCAAATTTTAGCCTCTTTTTTTTTGGTGGGGGGGGGAAGTGTGTCTTATACTCTGAAAAATATGGTATATCTAGAGGGAGAGAGGAAGAATGCCTCCAAAAGTGCCTCCTAAAACCCAATGGGAAAAGAAAAACTTTTGAGCTTCCTTATATGTGCCATATGGCCTTACCTACTTTGTATTGTCATTCCATCAGGTGGCAAAAAGCATTAAATAGGTACCTTGGCTGCTGAAAGGATGCTTACATTTGCAAAAATGCACTATGGAAATTGGACCTTGGAGAAAGATTCTTAAGTGTTGGTGGCATTTTTTGGTGGAAGGATATCTTCATGGGGAACTATATGCAATCTTACATGCAGTATGGTCAATACAAACACTAATGGAATTTAGTGATACACACACACACACACACATAAAATTGAAGATGGTCTCTTTAACCTATGAAGCAAGTCACACTCTACTCACTACAGTAAATCTTCAAATTGAACTTAACTCCTGATTTCCTTATGGATACATCTATGCCATTTTCTTGCCATAGAAGAGGTTTATCGTTGCATTCTTAGATGGTCTCTTATACAAGTATAAGGCCCTGACTTTCTTTGGTTTCCATTTCAAACAAATCAGCCCCGTATGTTACCGTGAAGCCATGTAGGAGACTTTCTACTCATTACATTTGTTTCTCTCTCTCTCAAAAAAAAAGCTGATTTAATTTAGGATTTCTCAACAATATCTTCATGTTATATATAGAAGTGAGTGCCCTGTCAGCCACTTATACAAACCAGCAAATTTTCCTACAGTCTTTTCTAATTTAATCTGGTGCTGTTGGTGGCTCTTGTTCATTGGTTAAAAACAAACACCGGGGGGGGAGGAGAGGGATGAAAAGGCAATTTAAAAATAAGCCTTTAGAATTTTTGCCTGTTTTTGTTACACCCAAAATTACTTCGCAAGTCCAATCATATGCAAAGGCAAGCGTGTCTAAATTTAGCATTTCCATTAAACAACTTTTAAATGTACTTACAGGTAAATAAAGGAGTGCCAATTAAGACAACACAATTCACAACACCTAAATTCTGGGATAATTCTCTGTTTGCTTTCTCCTCATATACCTATCTCAGGGGTGAAATCCAGCAGGTTCTGACAGGTTCTGGAGAACCAGTAGTGGAAATTTTGAGTAGTTCGGAGAACCGGCAAATACCACCTCTGGCTGGCCCCAGTGGGGTGGGAATGGAGATTTTGCAATATCCTTCCCCAGGAGTGGGGAGGGAATGGGGATTTTGCAGTATCCTTCTCCTGGAGTGGGGCGGGAATGGAGATTTTGCAGTACCCTTCCCATGCCATGCCCACCAAGCCACACCCACAGAACCGGTAGTAAAAAAAATTGAATTGCACCACTGACCTATCTCCAAATCTTTTTATTGAAACAAACAAACAAAAAAAGCATTTTGAATAGGAGACCCTTTTTGTATCTTAAGATACACAAACTAACAGATATTTTTCTCTTGTACACAAACAGGCGCTGCTCCGTATCTGAAGACTAAGTTCATTTGTGTAACCCCGTAAGTCTGGTTTCTTCACTAGGACCCATGGATTCTATCAAGCAATTACATAATATTTGTTTATATCAATCTCCCCAGTTATTTGTGCTTCAGCCCAACCAAAGAATCTCTAACCTCACCCACACAGCCAGGCAAGACACTGAGAGCAAACAGTACTCCTACTAGCACTGATGATGTTACCTAGTTAGGGTAATGAAATGTCTTCAAGAAAACAAAGCCCAGAGAGCACCAAGGACCCCTCATTTCAAACCTGAGCTGCATATATTCTCCTTTATTGGCATTTGTGCTTCAATTATCAATGGTTTTTATCCCAAAATAGATAATATATAGATAAAAAGCACAGGTGGCCCTCAATTTATGACCACAATCGAGCCCAAAAGTTCCATTGTTAAGCAAGACAGTTGTTAAATGAATTATTGCAATTATTAAGTTAGTGACACAGTTGTTAAGTGAATCTGGCTTCCCCATTGACTTGCTTGTCAGAAGGTTGCAAAAGGTGGTCATATGACTGCAGGAGATTGCAACCATCATAAATATGATTTCAGTTGCCCAATACCCGAATTTTAAACATATGACCATGGAGATGCTGCAACTATCATAAGTGTGAAAAACAGAAATCACCTTTTTCAATGCCCTTGTAACCTCGAACTGCCACTAAACGAATAGTAATTTGAGGACTACCTGTAGCAGAAGGAACGGTTGGTGTTAATTGCCTCTCCTCCTAGCAACATTCCTTGCTTCTGCTGTACAGATTAGACATGTAATTGCACAGAAATTTTTTTAATTAAGCTGTATGCAACTTGTCTGTATATAAAGCCATTTTTGTAGCCCTTCCCCCTAATTGTGCTGCCAAAATCCAATGGCACTCAGCTAGACTACAACAATGGGTATTTTAAAACTTTTGATAAACACAAAATAAAACAATTGCAACAGAGAAGAGAAAACATTTGTGTGTGTATGATACAATTAGTGGTGACTCCAAAATTCTCTTCTTGCTTCTGTTGTAATGAATGAAAAGTAATAGGTCTCCTTTGAGTCCAGTTTGATTCCTGGTGAATTCATAGACACTTCCGGAATATAATATGCAAACAGATTACTGCCGCTTCTTTCAGTATATTTTTCAGCTTCCCAAAGCCCTGGGAGGTCTCCCAACAAATACTTAAAAAACCAATCCCTGCTTACCTTCTAAGCCCAAACAGCCATTTGCTGAGAGCACATTATAGCATCCTCACCATTCTACTAATGTCTTCTCCAGTCTATCTCAAAGGTATCTAGTATGTGCATGAATGTCTCTGGAAGAGCCATGTCAGACCAGATCTTATGCAGCTTCTAACTTTTGTGTCTTCTTGCTAACCCCTCTTCTCCCCCTCCCACCTCTCACCTTTTCAGAACAACCTGCAGTAGCACTATTGAACTACCCATGTCTCCCCGCACACTTGAATCCCTGATCCATTTTGGCAGTAATGGTGAAGGAGCTGATGGAAATGCCAGCGGACAGTTTGGTGAGTGCATGGCTTATAGTTCAGACTTATAGTCTGTGATGGAAGGACAGTAGGATCACTTTGTTCCTGCTGCTTTTGTAGTTAGGCAGTTATGTGAAGCAGGCTGGGGTGTTCTTAATTATCCAACTATCATTTAAACCAGAAGGAGGCAGCATTGTATCTTCCAGATTTTTGACACTTCAGTTTAAATACTGCACAGTCTTTTATTATGTACTTAGTTGCTACTGTATTTCACTCAACAAACCATGATTGTTGACAGGGTATTTCAACCTGTTTTGCAAACCAGAATTTAATCTCAGTTTAATCTCAAAGGACTGTTTAATATAGTTTGTCCATTCACAGAAATGGGTAAATAAACTTATAAAATAAAACATCTCCACTTGCCCAAACATAAACGTAACACTTGTTTATTATTTCCCAAACCATAGGAAAGATATATATTGTATGAGGTGTGGTTAAATGGAAGTCCTTCAATTGAATAAAATGACTCTTGCTTAATTTTGATCAAAAGTTTCAGTCAAGTGACAAAGTGAAATGCCCTGTTAATGAAGAAGCAGGAAGGGCAGATTACAAGTAAAGCGAGAACAAAATCTCACATGAGAAAATGTCAGGAATAGATGTGTTCTAGAGTCTTACATTTCCATATTCTAGAATGAATGAGCGAGACAGAAGATAAAATGTGTGGAACAGAAATATCAATAAAATGTTAATGAAATAATGAGAGAATAGCAGCCCATAGCCCTCACAAATACTTAATATTGAAAGATGAGAAACTACAAAGAAAGAAGAAAAATATGGGTGCTGGCAGAAACTTTGCAAGAATAAAAAATAGTGGCAGGTTGGCCAGAATAAAACTAATAAAATGCAAAGAGCAACTTCATTTAACAAGGCAATGGAAAGAGTTCTTGAATGCAACATCTGGTAGAGTAGATTTCATCTGGCCTTTAAATACCAAATCTGCTGAGTGTCTATATAGTTGCAATGTAAAATTGGATTGCATTTCTCTCCTTCTGTATTTCTTGCAGAGTCCTTGCAGGTGTTTGACATGGAGATGACTGCTGAATGTGCCAATTCACCCATGTGATCACCTTTTGTAAACAGCTGACCATTTTTGGCTTCCTGGCATCAAACATTTACTCTCCTTACAGCATCATAAAGCTCAGACATCTCAGCTCTGCCTCAACAGGAGACATTTGATTGAGGGTCCTCCTTTAAGTGCACCACTGCTGGAGCTTGCCTGATCTCAAGACAGTTGGAGGGAAGAAATTCTGTTTAACTTTAGCTGTTTTTTTCCACTGCAATATTTTCCATTTTGTATACTGGTTATTAATGTAGGGAGTGAAGATTTTGTTCCAGTGTTTAACTAGACCAAGTGTTCCTCCTCAACAGTGCTTTTTGGTCTTCTGCGCATTTTTACTGCATGGCACAAAAAGCTATTTCTGTAATGCTACTCTCTTAAGTGTTCTATCCAGAAATAAAGCAGTTGAAATTGACAGGCAGGAGTCTGTTCAAGTAGCCCAGGGAGAGGAAAGGATATAGGAAAAAACACTTCTTAGAAATGAGAGTGTGTTTTTTTCCTTTTCCCAAACAATGTATTTTCTGTTCCTTGCTTTTGAACCCTTCTGTGGTGATCAATATACTTTAATAGAACAGTCCTTCAAGGTAAGGGCTAGAAAAATAGCCAATAGTATCGTTACTTGGGCATCTTGAGCTTTGAGGCTCCTATTAAAGACTAGAACATTCCAAGTACATAGACTGCTAATTAACTCAAGATTGCAGCATAAACTCCAGTGGAAACAATATTTGAACTCCAGTCATTCAACTGAAAAGTCAGTTCTCTCTCCACTTCCTTTCACCCAAAACTTCTAATCATGGGGAAAAAATTTATTGTCTACAGATTTAAGTCATTGGATTGAGATAATGGGACAAAGGTGAACTGATAGTTCAGTGTTAGGTTCCATCACAAATTTGTTGTCAGCATGTGGTTTGTTACTTTTATTATTATTTATTGCCCTATTATTATTTACATTGCCCTAAAAGGACCTAGGATAGCATTCATCCTTAAAGAGAAAGGGTGGGTTTTCCCTCCAGCAAAATTAAGAGGTGAATCCTGCTGCTGAATAGTGACTGGCACATAATCATCCAAATTTTATGACTGAGTGGAATTTAAATCAAGTCTACAGGACAGATGTCCAATGTTTTAGTCTCTGTGCCCTATTTCAAATACTATAGTAGTAACCGACAACAGGTATTTAAAGTAGTTAAAAGAGATGGTTATTGGTATTTTTTCTCTCCTTCCATAAGCTATATTGTTTAAAACTATCCCTTTAAAAGTCAATATTTTAACATTCGAACTGTTTGTTGCTCATTCATTTCTGTCAGCATTATTGGTCCTCTCCTTGTGGCCCCCTTTTCATGTGGCTTTTTTTTAATTTAGCCCCAGCTGGAGCCAATGTTACTTAGTTACTGCTTGGCTATTATAGTTTCTTTTCTTTTGTACAACCTCTTAAAATACTTTTAAAAGGCTCTGACGATCCCAGCTGACTTGCCTAATTGGCAGAGGCTTTTCTTTTTTAAAAAAAAAACCTCTGGCAATCCCAGATGATTTGCCTGATCGGCAGAGGCTTTTCTTTTTTTTAAAGCCTCTGACGATCCCAACTGACTGATTTGCGTGATCAGCAGAGGCTTTGTTTTTACTTTTAAAAGCATTTTTTCAGCTGGAGAGGTTGTAGAAAAAATGCTTTTAAAAATAAATAAAAAAAGCCTCTGATGATTGCGTGGCTCAGCTGGGCATGGGGGTGGGGAGGGATTTTTGCTACTGGTTCTCTGAACCACTCACCGCCATCGCTACCAGATCGGGCAATTCTAATGCTGAAGACCCCACTCTAATCTCACTGTGGTTCAGTGGAGTTGAAAAGTGGTGATAGAAGAAGATGATGAAAGAAGTTTGTTTCCAGTCATTAGAACAACCATTTTTGAAAACTGATGCTTTCCAGATGTGCTGGACTTCAACTTTCTGGTTCAAGGTGGTGGAGTTCAAGTGATCTGGAAAGCATTAATTTAAGGAAGACTGATTCAGAGACATTGATTTGCAACATTTATACAGAAAATTGAATCATTGATTGCTTTGTGATCTGCTGAATAAGCTACTATGACTGTGGAAGCCAAATCCAAATATAATTAGTGTGGTGTTTGAACTCAGCTACTTGCTAGATAAAGAGACAGAAAATTTTCTAGTCCAAGCTGTATTTTTTCCCATTTTTTCCCTGGTTAGGCAACCTGCAGCTGTGTTAATAACCACAGTCTGGATAATGAGAGTTATAATCCTGCCTAGTTTTCTTCTCCACTTCGCAGCCATAACAGTCTTTTAGGAAGAGAAATAATGATCTCCAGTCATGCTAAACTAGAATTGTTCCAGTGCTAAGCTGCTGTTGTCTTTCCTAATCAAGTTGTTTTTGTGCCATTTATTTCCCTTCTCAAATTATTCAATGTTTCCTTTTTCTTTTCTTTCTTTTTTTTTTTTCTTTTTCTTTTTTTTTTTTTTTGCTGTAGCAAGTTGCTCTTGAAGAACATAGCCATTTTAATTTCTTTGTATATTTTATTGCTGGTTCTACAAGCTTCAGCTTTCTGATAAATAAATTCTGCTACTTTATTTCTCTGTTGGAGTCAATATTTTGTCCCTCGATAAATGGCTTATGACCCAAAGAAAATCAAATGATTGTTATGCACAATAATGCAATTGGCCTAGAGAAGAGAAGAAACTTTATATAATCAAATGACAGCCAAGAATAAATATGTTTTTTTTTCTATTGGAACCAAACTCATAATCACTTTTGGATGTTATGCTATGTACACTTACCAGGATGAAGTAAAGCCACATTTAAATATATCTTATTTGAAGTACCACTTTTTAAGGACCACATACTGACAAACTGGAATATGTGTAGACTTGGTAACTAGAATATGAGAAGATGGGAGATCCAGTCCTATCCAGAAATATTGAAAGAACAAATTATGTCTAGTTTGAGGAAGGGTAGGTTAGAGATGACATGATAGGATTTTTTAAATATGTGATTAGGCTGTCTTGTTCTCTTACTTCAGAGGATGGGATTAGGAAAGAAAAAGGTATGAAATTACACATTGTGCTGAGCCATGTTTAATTTAACTGTATTTTTTTAACAAGCCACAATGGTTGGTTCACAAATAACGTCACAAAAATGAAGACTTTTCCATAAGCATTTCTGAAGTTTTTCAGGAGTAAAAGTAGGTGTGAAGTTTGATTCCACAACAGAATGAAAACAAAGAAAAAGTGATTGTCTTCCTCTCCCTTTTTTTTATGGCAAGCAAGCAGGCATGTAAACAAACAGGTCTCTTCCATCATTTAACAGAGCTATTTATGGATGATCTCACAATATCACTGATCCCCTGTAGTAGAAATGACAGAAGGAAATGCTGCCTTGAGGTTGAGGTTTCTACTAGAAGTTGAAGGGCCAAGTTATGATTCTGATTTAAATTCAAGATACATATATTGGAAAGATGTCCACTGTCAACTTTAGTGGCTCAGCAAAGCCAGTGGCTGAACTGGGAACATCAATCTGTGTTGGCTGTGGATGCTAAAACCCAAAAAGACTTGGGGGGAGGTTTCTTCTATGGATCATGCTCTAAAACATTAAGATGGAAAGTGAGTTATAATTTAAAAGATCTTTGTGCATCTTGACAGAGGATGCTGGGTTTTGTGAATTTTGTGAAAGACCATGAATCAGGCTAATTCTGTTGGCTTCTTCCAGTTTAACATACGTCATAGACACCAACCATAATTTATAAAAATGCCACAAAACAAGTATTTTCTGACGTTTTCCATCCCACTGAGGACACATCTACTATACCATCAGCAGACATACCATCTGCTGAAGAAAGTTCTACAGTAAGGGAGTTGGTTGCAAATGATCTGGAATGAAGGCATGGGACAGAGAAACCTAGGAATAGTATTTTGTACTTAAAGCCAAAAACTACCCCTGGTGCTTTTAATTTTTTTTTCTGGCAGAGATTCTGTAACTTTAAGCAGCTGGACAGCCAGAAATAGCACATACTGTGATCCTTGGTGTAGCAATGTAGGTATGGAATGCTTTATCTAAGTTGACTATATTAAAAGCCCAACACACTCACTTTACTGACATATGAGTAAAGTGGAGAGTTGAAAACAGTATAACTGCACATGGAAGTTTATAATTTGAATGCCAGAGGCACAAGAACAAATGAATGGTTAAGAAAATGAAATTTCCTTTGAGTGGAATACAGCGTATGAGTTCAGAGACAAAGCCATGTCATTTTCTTGGCCATCATATGAAGTAATTAGTGCTTTCTCTTGGGTGTTTTTTCTTTTAACTTCATTCTGGTATACAATGCTAAAATTCTTTGCTAGTCTCCCATCCAGATAATAACCTGATCTAACCCTACATAATTTTTAACATGAATCAAGATTGGCAAGTTGGTTATTGTTTAAAAGGGATAAAATTTGAGGCCAAGTACCTGTTCCTAGTTTCGGGAAATATTGGCATTTTAACAGGTCTTTCTGCCCTCAAATGGAATTGCTAACATTGCAACATTTAAAGCTGAGTCAATACAATTTTTTTTTAAAAAAACCAACCAACCAAGATTTAGCAACTAATTCTGGAAAGTATGATTTTATGGGAGAGAAAAAGAATTAAAATTTAAAAATGGATTTAAGTAGGCCATGGCTTTCAATAAAATGTAGTGGAGAGATGTCCTAAGTATTCAGAAGAGAATCCCTTCACCTTTACTCCATTCTGGATCAAATTAGAGGAGTCAGCAAATATGCAAGCATGAAGATGCAATCTGGCTGGAACAAGCTTTCGTCCTTGCTATAATCTCAATCCACATAAGGGCGACTTGGTAACCTACCACTTGCATCAAAATAAACTAAAATAAATTCTTGTTACAAAGCAGACAGCGCCTGATTTGGGTCAGTACAAGGACAAAAGATTTAAAGCTTGTCTAATCTGCCCAGATATTTTATTTATAAATGTCTGTAAGATAAGTGATACAGTCATTGGAAAAGGAATGAGCCTGCATTTTGAAAGATTCTGTTTCTGAAAAGGCCAGGGCTAGAAAAGGGGCTCCATTTCTTTTTGACCTCAACGAAAGAGATAGATATGTGCAGGAGGAACTGGTCATTTACACAGCTCTTGAACTTTGCTCAATTATGGTGAAATCTGGAATGGCAGTGTGCTTTTTAATTTTTAATTAAAAATTAAAAAGTGCTGATCTATACATTTACAATGAACAAGTCTGTATGAATCGGATGAAATTTCACATGCAAATTGAGGCATCACTGTACATGTTTTAGATGTAGGCACACAAATCCACCATTCCAACTGACCACTGTCTCTACAATACTTCAGAAGTACCTCCAAATTGCATGCCTGTTTATTTGTGAAGAATATTGTTGTAAATAGGCTAAATCCTTAGTTTTTGCTGTAATTTCATCAAAGAAAATTTGATCAATTTGAACTGTTAAAGGTTTGTGGCTGTATGTGGTTCCAATACTAATATTTATTCTTACAGTGACATTTGCCAATCTTTCACTTTGGTCTCCATCCAGTTGAGCCTTAGAAATCTCATTAACGAAGAGGACACATAGACGAGCACTTAGTCATCTTTTTCTCCATATTCATTATTCTTAAAGAAAAGCACAAATTGTAAAAGAGTAATAATGTCTGCTAATATACAAATTGGGCATCTGTATTCTCTCTCCCCAATTTATATACAGTAATTTATTCATTCATTGGTCTTGCATTATAAGATGATGGATTTTATATACAATTAAACTGAACATTAAAACTGCAGTCTGTAATTGGCAGACAGGAATTACCAAAAAACAAAAACAAAAACAAAAAAACAACCAACAAAGTAAAACATTAATACAATTTTGGTCATTGACTGTCCTGTAACACGAAGTGAAATATTTAAAAAATACTCCACCTCTAGATGAGATGGGCAGCACACAAATTTAATAAATATTTAACAGGTCTTTCTGCCCTCAAATGGAATTGCTAACATTACAACATTTAAAACTGTACCAACGTAACTTTAAAAAAACAAACTGATTTAGCAATTCTGAAAAAGTGTGATCTTGATGGGAGAGAGAAAAAGAATTAAATTTAAAAAATGGATTTAAGTAGGCCAAGGCTTTCAATAAAATATACTGGAGAAATGTCCTAAGAATTGGAGAAATCAGAAGAGAATCCCTTCATCTTTACTTTATAAATAAATAAATAATCTGAAAATGACAGCAGAGAAGCCTTTCTGAGTATGAAAAAACTAACTGCCAGTGATTCAGCCCTATGCAAGATGGAGTCGCTCGGTTAAGCAGCTCTTTCATTTCAAGTAGAAATCCAAACTTGGATATCAGGACAAACTTGTTTCAACCAGACCTCAGAAACCATCTTGGTTTATAACTTCCCTGCCAGTTTCCCCCACTGACTTTCTGGGGAAGCTAGGAAGAAAGATTGCAAATGGCGATCCCATGTTTGCAGGGCAGTGCAACAGCCATAACTTTGGGCACAGCTGGAGTACCCAAACTCTTCCCCTAACTTTTTGCAGGACTTCTGTCTCTCCGCAGTACATCAGAAATCTGAATTAGGCTCAGGTTAACCACTTGGTTAAAGACTATAGAAACTTCCAGGAAGCAAATCAGAAGTATAATTCAAGAGGCCTTGTTCAAATGGAAGCCTAGAATTATGTATACACTATAATCATAGAGCACCCAGATTCACCCTGAAATGTAAATTTAATTAATTAATTAATTAATTAAACTTATATACCGCCCTTCTCCCCAAGGGGGACTCAGGGTGGTGGACAGCCAGAAATTAAATCACATATAGTACAAAAGTTAAGAAAAAACTAAAATAGATTAAATCAGCAGCATTACCAATTTAAAATCCCAAATCTTACAAAATCAAAAAATTCCCAATTTAAAATCCAAAAAACCAATAAAATTAGAAGATTAAAAATCCCCATTAAAACCATTTAAGCTAGGCTGGCTTGTTAGAATAAATAAGTCTTCAGGGCCTTGTGGAAAGTGCGGAGGTCCAGGATCAGTCGTATTTCAGGAGGTAGCTCATTCCACAGGGTGGGTGCTCCCACAGAGAAGGCTCTCCCCCTGGGGGCTGCCAGCCGACATTGGCCGATGGCACCCTGAGGAGGCCCTCTCTGTGCAAGCGTATTGGCCGGTGGGAGATCATCGGTAGCAGCAGGCGGTCTCGCAAGTATCCTGGCCCTATGCCATGGAACGCTTTAAAGGTGAGAACCAACACCTTGAAGCGCACCCGGAAGACCACTGGGAGCCAGTGCAGCTCGCGCAGGAGAGGTGTTACGTGGGAGCGCCCTGTTGCTCCCATAATCACCCGTGCGGTTGCATTCTGGACCAGTTGGAGCCTCCGGGTGCACCTCAAGGGGAGCTCCATGTAGAGAGTGTTACAGGCGAGACGTGACGAGGGCATGGGTGACTGTGCATAAGGAGTCCCGATATTTATCCATTTTTCGAATGGTCACCAGAATGAATTGTACCATGCCACAACAGTTGCTTTGCTGTGGACATAACTTGAGGCATGCATATTTCTGCAACACTTA